CTTTACCAATTTGAGATAGGGCGTCTAATTTCGATAACGGAATAACCAATGGACAGTCTCATTTCTTGTTTGTTAGCTGGAAAACCCAACTTTCAATTAAATAACATTCAGACATTCCGCTAATTATTTGGGAAATCTCGCGCCTACCAAATGCGGTATACATATTGGTAATGAACCCAAACGTCTACTGTCTGTAAAAATTTGTTCCAGCAAATTTGTGAAATGCTATTCATTTGGCCGAATAAAAAGACCAAGAAAAATCGCGACGGGATGCGACAACGTTATTCTGCAATTTGGTTTACAAAAACGGACGGAACAAACGCAGAGTTTTAGAGTACTTAGCGAACCATGATGAAAACGCAGATATATTTTAGATTTTTGCTGTCTTATTTTTTCCCAAAACTATAAAAATATAGTTTGTTACCAGAATCGTAGTAAACTATGAGTTTTATGTTTGTTATTCCAGTTGCTTGGAATTCTGCGTCTTGATAACTAGGGATGTTTGTTAGTCTAATGTAATCATCAAACTTCCGTCACCTTATCTGGAGCAATGAGCGCGCGTAATTAACCAGTTTTAAAGGTACCAAGGAATACATACCGCCAAAATCACGCGATGTGGTTTTGACGATATTTTCCCAACTTCGTTAAGTAAATTGGTGCGGTCTGGCGGTACAAAACTAACTATAACCTCGTGCAAGGTTCGGAATGGTTCGTCTTGAATATGTAAATTAATGCTGTGCCTTTAAATGTTGCATCAAATGTCCCGGGTAACAGTAGAACCCTGTTGTGCTTTTTTCACCTTCTGTGGAACACTATCTTATGAGTTGTGGTTCACGTTCCCACACATACCCATTTGTGGTCATATTTTAATGTTTCTCATCCGCGTCCTCGTTAGCGTGCATGAATCAGCTAGTTAAGGGCGCCTATACAAGCGGTTTATTTGGGAAATGTTCTTCAGGCGCCGGCCGCTGCTGTGCATGTTCGCGGTTGTCTAAATTCCACGGTTTTACATTTTGCGGTGGCATTGGCTCTGCAGGAATTTCAATTGCACTCATTGCGGTCTGGTTGCTCGCAAACGGTTTTGCGTCATTTGTATTTTATTCATCTGCGGATACTGTATGTGGCTACATCATGAATATTAGTGGTGTGCGTGGTTCTAAAACCAAATCGGGAGTGCAAAAGAACCCTCCACATAAACAAACCGGTCTTTGAAAGCAGTGTACCATGATATGCGTCCTACTAAGGCTGAGAGGCCACCGCTTTGTTCTCTATACTACGTGTATTGCTTCCAAACAGAAGAAAGAACTACTGACGTAAATAGACAAACAGAAATGTTACATCATTCACCTTGATTATCTGTTTATTTCCGCGGTCCCTGGGTTGTTCGCACAATGTAAAATAATATATGGAAGTATTTGAAGCGATATATAGTTGAGTTTGTTGATTTATTTCTTTTCGATAGCTAACCTACGCTTATTCATACACCACCCTCGAGAATATAATTGTACTCCCTGCTGATTTTCAGTGCTGGGCCTTAAATGCATTTCACTGCGCCCTTCAAATTAGACCTTACTTTTAGAGGTAACATTAGAATCGACAGTCCAACACTCATTTGCGTTCCAGCTGACTGACACCTGGCAGGTAGTGATTCCGATTGAGTGATTCCATGTTATTTTCCGTGTATCCACCAGACCTATAATATCTATCCTACGTCACTGCTCTTGAACTGTGCTCTCGGAAAAGATTTATAAAAACGCTGAGCCTGCCTATGTGATGCGATACAAATCAACCGGCCAAGACACTCAAGGATAATCAAAGCTGTCTTACAGCATCTATCTAGATGATGTGTGAGGGTGTCTACAAAAAATCACCCATGTATTCACGTTTTGTATTTTACTAACTAATCTTTGCTGCGTATGTCATTATTCTCTCTAATATATTTGGCCCAGCAATATTGCCGAAAACGCTGTATTTAACTCCCATTTTAGAGACAATACTCCACTAGTAAACAGCCTCGTTGATCTATGCAGATTGGCTACTTGAAAGCTCATATATCGCTCAGCTTGTGGAATTTTGGAAACGGAATATGGAATATCAACAGTTTTAGATGTCTATTATTTAAAGCCTATTTAGGCAGCCAATTGTTTAACCCTATTTTACGAAGGAAGTTGTTTTCACACCACTCAGAAACTAAAATCTTGAAGTTTTTATTTGCGTTCACGAGAGAAAATTACTTCGATTGATTTCACGCACGTGAATGATAAAGTTCACATGTTTCAGCGTTGGGCTGCTTTCTTGCGCACTCGAAATGTTGAACGATAGACAAATTTACTGATGCTTTAGTAAATGTGACGTTTGGATGAGAGTGCACGGTAGTGATTTAGTGGGACGGGGGCGAGGTCTACCAGCAGGTTTTCCTAAACGTTTGTGTATGAATTCAAGCCTAAGTGTTGAAATGTAACTGGATTACTCTGGTGAGCAGATAGACACGATTCGTTTGCGTTCACGGCTCAGGTAATCAAAACCTGGGTTTTTTCGTGACAAAATGCTTGTGTACAACAAGGAGAGCCCAAACATGCAGACATTTGCGTGCTTTTTAAACAAATTTGAGTCCGAGATATTAAAGAACGTGTATAATGATGTGAACAAGAATGCAAACAAAACCCAAGAACCATTTGCGAACGTGCTTGAAAGCGTTTTTACCAGAAGTTCCTGGTTGATTTACGGGCGACTCAAAATAGTGAGTGGATTTCACTAAGGGTTATCACCTTCCGACAGGCAAGAGCTCCGAACGGGCAAATATTTTACAATCCCATTAGAGGATGTAAACAAGGACCGAATTTTTGGAGCGTACTCTTTTCGCCAATAAAATATTTTGCTTTCAGTTCGGGCATTTGCGTAAAGAAATATTGAATTTTGTTTATTTACTTCAATTTATGTTATTTATCTTCTTGTCCCCTACTTTAGGCAACAATATCGGGACTGCGTTCATTCATTTTTCACGTGTCTTTTGCCAACATAACCTACCATCTAATGGCAGGTTTCAATATACACCTTAAAACTAGCTTCAAATTCGAACAACAAGGTTACGCGTACTGACAAAGATTTCTAACATGATGGCGGTTGGCTGTGAGCGCTACAAAATTGTATGGCCTACAAAAAAGAAACAATGATGGCTCACATTTCAAATCCAGAAAATACATGAGTTCAAGGGCGACGCAACCACAAGCTTGCTGTCCCTTAATTCTGTTATACCAAGCGAAGAATATCCCAAAATCATGCAAAGTAGGCCATCTTGTGCGCGCAACTATGCCTCCAAATCATCCGTAGCACACCAAACGTTTGGTTAACGAATTCTTAAGGATCACACCTTGTGTGGATGCAGGTGTATTCAGAAGGAACTGTTATGTTGTAATCCACAACAACAAATTAGGTGAATTGGTACCAAAAAAGCTTCGAGATCTCCCAAGCTGAAGAACAAACTTCCAGTCATCAGACATTCTCGGGATTCCCAGATTTTCCAGAGAACATATGCATGAAGCATAATAGCATAACTTTAGTCTGTCTTATCCAGATATTTTTGGCACACATCACCGAGGGATTGGTGTGAAAAATGGCTTTCGAACATGATTAGGCATTAGTTTTACAGGTGAGCTCAAGCCTCTGACACTGAAACGGTATTATTACCTCCAAAGTCATTGTTGGAAAGGCTTGTGACAATCATACATCTTACACCGGTTATGGTGACGCACCGAAATTGAACACAATGAGTCAAATGCAGTGAACAAGACATGGTAGATCTTCTGTATTTATTCAGATAGAATTAGTGTAGCGGGCAGGTATCCAGTCAGTCTAAAAATTGTGTTGAATGAATTATTGGTGCAAATAGGTTGGGAATTCTGATTCTGTAAAAGCATCAATTATTTTCTAATTATAATCCAAAACTTTCACGGTCTACTAGTTTATAATGTAACTGCATTTATCATATCAATCTGCATCCAGCAACTCACCTTCAATGAAAACACTGTAGCACATCTCTGATTTGTATAACAAGTAGGATGACAAGCATAAGGTAGGGTGAGTGCCAAAGTTGTGTGCAATTAGTTTTGCCACGAGACCCATCAGGTTCAGGAATCTCAAAACTATTTCACGATTAGTTTTTCGGCAGCCAGAGTACCCTCCATGCATAAAGAACTTTAAAGAGCCAAGCAGTAGCCTTTCGGGACAACGTGTAAGAGAGTTACGTTGCTGAGGTGCGTCGGGCAAATCATCTGCATTGAGCAAAGTAATCAACTTTCGGCGCACCCAAGAGCATCATTTCATAGTAAGCTCTCCAGTTTGAAAATACCATAAAAGGGTGAAAATTCAAAAGTCTTTTCCCGTTACTGACTTAAAAAGTGAGACGAACGAGCCGAAAATATCTTCGATTTGATTCTTAGCGAAAGTACAAAATCAAATCTGTTGCCAACGTGTATACCATCCTAAAGTTGCAAAGCCCATACAGTCATCTTACGTTCGGTTTACTTCTTGTTTATGGAAGTTGTCTGCTTGATATCTTTTTGGCTTAATCTGCTGCCAGAGACCCTGTTAGATCAAATTATTCTACAACATATATTTTAGAGGGGGCAAGACGGCTCAAGTGGTTAGAGCGCGAATTCACTGACCATAATGTCTGTGGTTCTAATCCGACCTCTGTCTCCCGACTTCCCTCTCTAGGCTTGGGCAACGTGGCAGTATCCCAGCCCTCATGTTTCCTTCGGATGCCATGACAGGTAGATACCGGAATGGTGTTACAGCTGGACGATTTCAATATATATTTCAGAGATCACATTAGTCTCCTTTTCTAAGGGGATTATTATTTAACATATGCGGTTTATAACTAGTAGTTTTCAACTAGATTTCACCAGTTTCCTCGCGCTTCTCGACTCACCTTAAGGGCTAAATTACAATTCAATTGGATAACTAATATCAATTAACATATAGAGGTATAGGCTACTCACGTGCAAAATCCGTGTAATTAGTGCTGTAGACTGAAATAATAATAGATAAATTTATTAACTTGGCTACATAAGACAACTGTTAGAAAATGCCGCCCTTGAAATTCCTCTTCATCGTGCGTGGTAAGGTATGGAAAATAATTTAAAGCGGGGTAAAATCACTGTTTTTTCAACATGCTGTGAATCTGTCCTCAAATAATTGGGTCCACTCACATATGCACTCATTAAATGCCTTTTTGATGCAGTCTACTGTACACCAAAGCAAAGGAAATAGAGAGAAAAATAGATTGAGACGTTTTGTTGAAACAATTTTAATCACACCCTTGTTACAATTTTGGTTATGCACCCCTTGGAACCTATACAAACAGGAAGAATGTTTTCGTGCAATTTTTGAATCGATTCTCAGGGAACGTTATCTACATTAAATCCGATCACATATGTGGGCAAAGAGCACTGCAGTACTCATAACAACGAAAATGCCAAATACACGCTAATTAGATATCAGCTTTGTGAAAGCTCTATTTAAAATTATAGCTTCCGTTGTAAGATTTGACAAAAAAGACTTGGCGCTTTGGCAGAAAAAACTTATATCTACACGTAACAAAACAGTTTTTGGTCTTAGATAAATTTATTTGTTTATTTAAGCTATCCAAACCATGATGGAGGAATATTTTGTTTGAACAGGGGACCGCTACAAGGCACACGGAGCGAGATTATGTATATATATACACAAAGGTGTTACACACGTTATGTTGTTGTGCTTTTTGTCGTGCGTTCCTTAGACATTATAGGGGATAGAGTAGGGTTGTGCCAACTTAGCTGTATGGTGATATTGTTAGGCAAAGAACCACCATTGTTTCAAGTATTTGACGGTTATAAAATGTTTCGCAATCACTACCTGATGACGACTAACTTATGTGCCTTTAGTAACTTAAGACAAACAAGTTCTTCGGAGAAAGATCATCCTCTGCAAGGGCAAGACGATAAGAGCTTTAGGTTGGACTTCCATGCCATCTCGCTCACAGAAGGGTACGCATTTCTCCGGGTAGTAACACGCATGGCACCAATGTTGCCAATTTTTGCAGCAGAAAAATAAAATTTCCAATGGGCGTCAGTGTGTAAATTATTCTGATGTTTGGTTTGTCCGATATTTTTGGGTAAATATCGGCATAAAGATGGCCGTGAACTTGCGGTTGGAAGAACTCTATTTTCGACATTCCGTCGCTTCGCTTTTTGTTGTTGCATTGCCTATGGCATATTTGTTTAAACAAGGGCGTATCTACCGGTTTATAGAATAGCGCTGCATTTTAGTGGTGTTTACACCAGATCCTTGGTTTTCGTCACACCAACGCGGTGTGCAAATATAATCACCCATTTACACATTTGTATATTTTTGTCACTGCAATAAGTAGTCATTGTAATAGTGTGTTCTGACCTGCCACTGTGACAAAGCTTTTGGTTGGTAAACGTGATAGAGACATGCTTTTGCACGCACATTCAGTGCTTAGAGAATCACGTTCGACCGAAACAAGCAAGATATCACTTTAAATTTGTTTTTGTACTGCATTCCTGTTGGCCGAACAGGCTCTGTTTTGGTATTGACTACACAACAGTCTACATATAGTTGTTCAAGGTGTTTGTGTTGCAACATAAATAAGTGCAAGTCAATTAGGGTGCCTCTACAACCAGCCACGGTCAGAACGGACATACATTTTCTTTCCGCATTGCCCTAGCCACGGTCAGAACGGACATACATTTCCTTTCCTCATCGCTCGCGAAATTGCCTGAAACGTTCAAAAATTATGTTCAAATTACAGCAGTGGATTGGTTAAAGTCTCCACCATCCCACAACAGTCATACAACAATAGTACTTTAAAAAATTCTCCATTTAATTAGTGGCTTATCATGATCTTAGCGGAAGAATACCACAAAACACACTTTGTGGAACCGACGTTGACTTGGACAATTTCAGGTGCTTTGGTGCTTTCCAAAGGCCTACGAAGCCGTAAAACATGGTATGTTGACTCTATTTTGTAATCACCTGAAATGACACTCCGTAAGCGGCCCAATTTGGCAAACCTAAATATGTTTTTTGGGCCAGGTGGTAGTAGCTCAAAGAAACAAAATATCTTACAGCGCAATAGAAACTTCCGCTTAAAATGCTTTCACTCATTGAGTTACTCGGTGAACGACAATGCAATCTGAACCCTTCACCGTGCAAGAAATATTAGAAAGGAATTTGGCGTATCAACAAACTACAGATCTTTTTTACTGCATTGGAATATATCTCTTATTGATAACTCCATGGCAGAATGCATTTTACGGGTCCCGTATTAAACCGTAACCCATGATACTTGAAATGAACTTAATTTGCACAGATGTAGGTACGAAAAATCAGGCGCCTTGTGAGTTGTGCCCCTGGCTTTGTGGAAAAGAAGTAAATCGACATCTGTCTATATCACCAACCTTGGATAATGCGCAACACAGTAAACCACCTATGATATGGTGTCCCGCAGCTACCCCAAACGGACGAAATAGTCGGGTTTCAGCTTTAAAGACGAACGTTTTCCTAGTCAGCGTATCATAGTTTAGATTCAATCCAGTCAATACTGCCCTTTGATTAGGCTTCTTTGACATACGAAATGTTTACAATTACCTCTAAGGACATCGCGAGTTTTTTTGTGTAAATAGCAA